CAGTGAGAGGTAATGCCATGTGTTAATTATATAATGCTTATTTGGGGAAAAAAAAAACCACACCCCATGCCGGAAGCTGCATTTAACACCCTGCTGTTGATAAGTGGCTGTGACCCCTGGGCCTTATGTGTCACTTCATATCTGTATTCTACAGCACCCTTTCTTATTAGACAGTTTGTATGTCTTTATTGGAAGCACATTTCTACTTTCATTGCTTTACTTGTCATCGTTACCCTATGGTCACTGTGGATTCTTTTTGGGGAAGCTAGTCACAACCACCGACAGTGTATAGCTCCACTGGCAGGGAGGGGGCACACAGGCTGTCAGTGTAGTCTGCCTGGCTGTGGGACAAACATGACAAAACAGTTACTTAAATGTGGTCAGGTAAAGATATCTAGTCAGAATTCTTGTAACTGAGTATCTACTCCACCCAGACGCTTGAGTTGCTGAAATGGGGGCCTGTGTGTGCTTAGTTCTAGTACATTTCAGCAACTTAAGCTTCTGGAGATAATAATTAAGTGATGCCTGGGGATTGGGATAGGGTACTTACGGGGACGTCACTCTAAGTGACTTGTCTCATGCATGCTCTACATGGACCAGGGTTAGAGGCAAAGGTGTCCAGCTTCCTTAGTGGCGGGGCCCTCCAGTCCCCGTCTTGGCCTAATGGGGGCTGCTTTCCAAACATGCTTTTGCTTTCTCAATATTAGACCCGGACACCACCATGTGGAGCTGCCTCAGAGTAGAGTGCTCAGAGGCACAGGGAGGGCTTGGGGAATGCTTCTAGAAGCACAGCATCTCTCAACTAGTAGGTGATGAGTGACAGCCGCGTGCTTCCCCTTCATGCATGCAGCTGTGTGATAGGGTCTGCGTGTGGTAGAGACATGATCCTCTACACCAACAGGCTTGGCTTTTCTAATATTGAACAGTACTCATTTCTTGTTTCTGTTGTTTCAGATACAGCCAGGCTGATGCCCTCAAGTATGTGGGCATCGAAAGAGAAATGGAGATCCCCTGACATCTACTACCTCGTCCCCTCCTCTGAAACAGCTGCCTTAGCTTCAGGAACCTTGAGTACTGTGGGCAATTTAGAATAAGAAAATGCAGTTTGAAATTCTGAATTTGCAAAGTACTGTAACAGTAATTTATAGTAATGAGTTTTTAAAAATCAACTTTTTATTGCCTTCTCACCAGCTGCAAAGTGTTTTGTACCAGTGAATTTTTGCAATAATGCAGTGTGGTACATTTTTCAACTCTGAATAAAGAATACTTGAACTTGTTGTTGTGTCACTTTTAATAGTCAGCAACTGATTCCAGAAACACTACATTCAGTGGGAAAACACAACTTACCTTGGTTTTCCAGTTGTCTATGAATCTTTAATAACTAATAAACATACTGCCTTTTAGCCTTGAGTGAATGACACTGGTGTTGGTTCTGGACATTCATCGGGGCAAGTGAGTCAGCTTGTACCCCAGGGAAAGCTCCAAATCTGTCCATATGTAAAATGATTGTGTAGACTAGGTTATTTCTAAGAACCTATACACTTATTCTATACTGTAGACACAGTTACAGATGCAAGCAGGCTGGCAAGCATAGTGATTTATCCCAGTACTGGAAGAGCTAGGGCAGGAAGGTTTTGAACTGGGGATACCCAAACCCAGCCTGGGCTGCCTGGTGAAATGGTCTCAGAGAAACAGAAAACACCCCTAAATAAGCTGACCATAGTTCAAATCTTTAAGGAGCCCCCTCCAAGTCTCCCCTGGGCCGGGCACCTGTACTTCCTTGGTAGGTGGCCACCGAGCAGCACCGTAAGGGCTCAGCACCCTCCAGGCCTTGTGCGCAGTGCAGATGCCCACGACTCAAGTCACAGCACATTGTCTAGAGTTAGATATGGGTTATTTATAAAGGTGTTAAAAACCTTCACTTTCACACTATATGCTAAAACTCACTTCGTTATTTTCCAAGGTAGTTTCCAATCATCAATTCACAAGGCATAGAACTTGAGTCTTACATTGATGTAGACTAGGAGGGGCTCCAGTTACTGTACATGACTCCTTGTTGTACACTTGGCATTTGCATGGATTGCCCTGGACAAAGTTTGGGTGGCTCTACTTAGCTGCTGAGTTGGGTAACACTTTCTTTTAGGCAATTTCTTAAGATAACCTAATGGTCTTCCTTGTCCAAACGGGAAATGGATCACCCGTTTAGTATATTTGGGACAGTTCAGGACACCCCGGAGAGTACATGGCATCAATAGTATCTTCCGACATAGCCCATCTGGTCATGGTTCTCATCTCCAGATGAAAGGAAGCATTCAGATTGTAGAGTTCCTGATGTGTTAGACCAGGTCATATTGGTAGAGCAATAATTTGGAGAACTTGTTTTATAGTCCAGGCTGCCTTGGACCCTGCTATGTAGCTGGGAATAACCTTGAACTCCTGAGCCTGTCACTACCTCTCAAGTGTTGGGGCCACTTACAGGCACTCTTGTTCTGTTTAAAAAAGCATGGTTAGAAGTCTACTTCTTTGATCTTGATTTAGAGTGTATGTGTGCCTGTGTACATACCACTGTGCGTGCACAAGTCAGGACTGTTTACAGAGTCAGTTCTCCCACATTGGGGATCCCTGGGCTCAGGCCATCAGGCCTCGAGCAAGCACCTTTACCCACCAAGCCCTCTCACTGGCTCCATTTGTGTTGGGGGAAGTCCTGTGCATTTGTCTATAAAGACTGTCTGGCCAATAGGAATCTAGATAGGTGGGGCTAGGAGTCCAGGAGGATTCTGGGAAGGAGAAACACAAGAGAGTCGAGATGTAACGCCATTGGGGTAGGAAGCCTGGAAACCTCTCCGGTAAGAGACATACTTAGATTAACAATTATGGGGTAATTACTTAAGTCAGAGCTAGCCAGTAAGAAACAAGCAAGGCCAACAGCTTCATAATTAATACAGCGTCTTGTGTGTTTATTTGGGGACTACAATGTGGCAGAGCCCAGGCGACTGGCGGGTGATAAACCAAAGCGGCTAGCAAGGAAAAGCTTCTCTTAACACATTTGAGGCTTCAAATGTAGACAGAGCCAGTCAGCTTGGGGGTATAGCACAAAGCCCGATGCACAGGTAAACCAGTCTGCAACACCTCATCCAGCCTTGGTGGCCTGGAAAAGCACTGTCCATATCATTGCTTGCCAAACTCAAGGTGTTTTATGGTTTGTATTAAAACGTAGTTGTTTACCTAGAAGTACTCCTTATTTCAGTACTGAAAATCACCTTATCTCTAACCTTCCATGTCCACTAGAAGGTCTGACTTCCATTTCTGCTCAGGGGTTTGGCTACTCTGAAGACTAACAAGTTACCTGATTACAGTTTGCTGACAAGTCATCACGACAGCCGGGGTATGAACATTTTGAAAGAACTTAAGTATTCTATTACTTAATTCTGACTGGAATTGGGGGCAGGGAGCTTGTTTTTAGACTTCAGTCAAAACAATTTCAGTGAGGGCCATGTATAGGCCTATGTGGGTAGGTATTATTAGAAACAATTCCATGCTCTTCTGGTTAGACAAAGGTGTTATTTGGTCTGGATAGCTATGTGAACTGAAAAGATTAAGGTCTCTCTATGTATCTTTTTTTCACTTCATATCTAAAAGAAAAGTAGGCAGTGATGTTCAGTAAAGAGTAAACACCAGAGCCCGCTGGTTTAGTAGCCACTGTGTTCCTCTCTTTTGGAGCAGGTCTTCAAGTTTCCACCAAGGCAGTGAGCTCCTATGCTGTGACCCCTTGCCTGGTGGTGTCCCCTAGTCCTGTCAGCTGGTCTTAGTTAAAAGCCCCATTCTTTAGACCACCAGGCTCATGTGTAGTAGGGGACAGGGGTGTGGATGGTGCAGACCCTGCCTTTTTACTCAGCAAGCCTAATAGTAGTTTCGCATTCTGACCAGCTTACCTTCAACCCTGACACTCAGTCCCAAAAAGTCTCTTAATTCATGTCTAGCCCTTTAGTCTTTTGATCCACCACAATTAACCTGGGCCATCTGTGTGAGTGGGTTGGCGAAGGCATCCTTAGTACAAGAAGAATGAAACCAGGGAGAGTGACAGTGTGGAGACTCATCACCTGGATTCCATCTCACCCTGTGGCCAGGGAGTGTAGACTGGGGACTTGACATGACTGGATGGGTGGCCTTGCATCCTGTGGTGAGTAAGACAGCCTCCTTGGAAAAGCTCACTATGAGGGACCTGAAATCAGAGATCCTCAGTTCTCACGCACTAGTGGAAAGGGCTGAGCATCCTCCCTGCTGACCCGGGGTGTCGCCAATAATTCAGAAGCTTTAATCTCAACTGCAGCATCTTTCCAGAACTGTACCCAGTGAGCAGGTGCCACCGCCTGTCTTTAATTGACTTCAGTACTGTGGAAGCAGGAGCCCAGGAGTCCAGTTCTGCTTTAGTGTAACAGCCCAGTTTCTGTACCTGTCTCAGGATTAATTTAGTTCCTGCAGGTTAGCAGCAGCAACCTGGAGTCGCAGCCCTCACGGCACTGAGGAAGTCCCAGAAACAAGGGTCAGTGCCCAAAATGATGAGGAGCCTTAAACATCAAGATTTTAGTTTTCAATGCAAGGAATGCAGCTCTTCTGGATTCCAGGAAGACACTGGGAATATACACTTGCACAATCATTAAATCTTTTATTTACAGATAGAAATTAGTAAAACTTAAAACAAAACCAAATGCAACTTGTACAGAAATCCTTTAATTATCTTTATTTTCACACATTAAAAAATGAAACACACTATACAAATGGTTTTCATAGCAGATTACACGTGGGTCCATTCAGACTCGCTCTTGGGCTGCCTCAGATGACAGCTGTTAACCAGGGAGCCGATGTATTGATTTAAGTGCAGTAGCATGCAGCCTCAGCATGGAAGGTTCGGTTCCCCTCTGTCCGTAAGTTAGGGAAAATGGCATTGGCGTCTGTTTACAGACTGAAATGTGTCAGTCCTGAGCAGTCCGGCTGAAGCCTGAGACCAGGTGGCAAGAACTGTGGTCTCAGCTTTAAAAAGGGAGATCCAAATGGTGGCAGGCTGGCTGCTATGAACTTGAGTCGTGTCCATTCTATTCGCCAGAACTATTTTGCTGTGGGTCACAGACCCTTTTAGAAGGGTTAGGCCAAGTAACTGTAGGTGTCCTTTTCACCATCGACTCGTTCCAAATATTCTTTTTCGATGAGAATATCAATGCATTTCTGGGCATTATTTTAGGAGGAAGAGGGAAAGGGGAAAAAAATACAAAAAACCATCAGGACAAGGTCACCCTCCACGACAGCTCAGCAGGGAGCAAAGCCACTTGTCTGCTTAACTCGAACCTCATTTGCTCTCCTGAATGCAGTCCTCCAGTAACACCTGCTAAGGTGGTCACTATCTACTGCCACCCTTTGAGTCTCTCCTGTGGCTGAAGCTTACCCAAGTAGTCTCAGAAAAGGAAAGACCCACTGAGTACTGTCAGCAGAAACTAGGCAAATGAGATCATCAGTGTCCTAGATACGAGGTAGTACATTTATTCAATAGTCCCTGCACAGCAGCAGAAATAAACAAGCATTTCCTAACAATGCAACCCAGGATAGTCCTCATACTGCCAAGCAGGTTTTCACCAGCACAGCAGAGAGCACCCTCTGTCCACTGCTTCTCTAGCAAGCAAAACCAGTCAAGGATGCATTATGGTTCACAGCTAATTGCCACATAAACACAGACATGGGACTACTTCTTCCTTTTCAGGGCGTCCATTACAAAGGTGTACTTACACACAACCCACACACTTCTATATGTATTTATTTCAAGAGGAAGATAGGCTGACTTTCCATTGTTTCTTGAGTAAGCTACATCTCTCCTAACATGAGAAGGACAGCTACTGCTCTGTAATTCCTGTACCTTGATAACTGGGACCCGAGGTTTGAACCTGGAGGACAGCTGAGTGAGGACTTCACCAAGTAACTGCTGGTGTTTCAGGACCTTCCTCATTTTCATGATCCTCACGATGGCCGCCTATGCAATCGAAAGGGAAAAACATACGCTTAGAGCTTTCACAGCTGAGCAGGAAAGGTAAGGCAGCCGTGCAAGGACACTTCAGCTCTACTCCCATGCACAGGGTAACAAGTGTCCTGCAGGCCAGAGGGCACAAGTTTCAATCCTAAGAGAGCAAACATTAAAGCCAAGGGGCTAGACGATGGTTCAGTGGTTCAGAGTACTAGAAAACCTGGGCTCCTGGAGATCCAGTACCCTGGCCTCTGGCCTCTGGGGGCACCAGTCATGGACATGCCTTATATGAAAAAGTTCCATTTCTGAGGTCACAGACGCTACCCGTCCTAGCACTCAACTCTACCACTCTTTTAGTCTGCCATGTTTACCTCTTTCCCTATATGTAGCTACATAAAATATTCCAACCTCAGACACCAATGTCCCAGCTTTAGATATTGGCATCTTTGGCCATCCCCGAGCCCTGTGTTGTTCTGGCAGCACTTGTCAATCAAAGCACATACATGGGGGTAACACATTTCTCGAAGTGTACAGTACAGACATGGTTCAGTCACCTGAATCAGTAGTTTGCGGTCTTCCTCTATATTTTTGTGTGTGGTTTCTTGTTCCTGCTTCTGTTCGGTTTTCATTGGTACATTGATATTAACCCTTAATTTCTTGCTGTTAAGACAATAGAGGAAATAGTCACTGAAAAGTCTACTTCCTCTTTTTCACCGCTGGAGGTTTTGCTTCCCTGGACTGGGGCAGAAAGCGGTTCACACCTCTCTTCTGCACCATTTGGACCAGCCACCTGGGAATTGCCCCTCCACCAATGTAATTACCGCGGGGCTGTGACTGAAGTGACATTTGATCCCTCACTTTGTCACCAAATAATTTGACATAAAGGTCTAAACATTCTATACTTATTTTCAAAAGAAAGAGAAAACCAAAACAACACAAGAGCAATATGGGAGACTGGCAGTCAGTCACCAAGCCTTCAGAGTCCACTTTCCCCTGGCTTGTCTGATCCTGAAGTATGCCTGGTGCCAGGGGATAAGACCAACAGCTATGTATTAGATTTTCTTACTTTTTATAACCAAGATATAACTTTATTAAGGTGTCTGGCTTCAATTCCACCTCATCAACATTTGCATTTTCATCTTCCAAGACCTAGAAGAAAACAACTGTTACTAGGCACATCCCAGGAAAAGGCTTTCTATTAGCTTAACACAAAGTACACAAACATACCAGCAACTTTGACTTCAGTAAAATCTGTAGGACTTGTGCCAAAATGTCCTGCAATTAGAGACAAAGATGGTGAGCAAGAAACACTTCTTTTAAGTGGTTGTCCCAGAAATTCAGCACACTGTCCATAGGAACAGTCATCACCCCAAAGCAGAAGCCACCCAGAGAAAGTAACATGGCTTGTTCTCAGAGTTTCTTTATGGCTCACAGCACCCAATAATCAAAGGCAATAATACAGCTTCCTATGAACACTGGACACAATGAGTGCCTGCTTCTCCAATTAAGCCTACAGAAAATTATTCACTTCTTCATGGTATTTGCATGTCTACAAAAAATTTATATGGTGCCAGGGATCAAACCCAAGGCTTCGTGTATGCTAGGCAAGTGTTCTACCACAGAACTACACCCCTGGACATGCAAATGAAGAACGTAGGAGCTCCAACAGAAGCAAAGCTGTACTGTATTCATGAGCATGCTGGGGCCTGGTGGCTTTAGTGAACCCAGTGCATTATGCAACCTCATCTATAGCTGGTCTGGGGATCTCCAGCACCGTCAGCCTCATGGGCACTTACCACCTCACCTGGACTCTTAGCCAACACTAGACAGAAATCCTGCCCTCTTCATAATGGTACCCATGCTGGTCTGAGGCTATGCATAGTAGCTTTATCAGAAGTGGCAACTATGAGCGGGGGCCTTAAGGAGGACAGTTCAAGTCCCATAAGAGAATTCTAATACTAGAAAAGAGTAGAAAGACTGATGTGGCCTTAAGAAGGCCATGTAGAGACCAGAGAGCCAAACAACAAAAAACAAAAGTAGGATTCATCAAGATAAAAAATGTGTGCACATTGGCCTTGATACTGTAGTCATCAATAAATACATGTATCAATTAAGAAATGAGACGAGGGCTGGGACAACAGCTTTGCTAAGTGCCCGCCTAGCATATACAGGCCCTGGGTCAGTCCCCAGCACTGCATAAAAACAGCTATGGTGGAACATGCTAGTCATCTGGCACTACAGGATGTATGTGCAGAGGCAAAAGGACGGAAGCTCAAGGCCATTCTCTACCTGAACTATAGGAGACCCTGTCTCAAAAACCAAACCAAACCAAACCCTCAACAAAACAAAACATCGAGTGAATGGGAGAAAATATTTTAAATCATGTATCTGTTCCCCAGCACCCACGTGAAAGCTTTCTTCCTGTAGTGCTGTGGGCACAGGTGCATCCCTGACACTCATCGGCCATGTAGTCTAACCAGAGGAATAATGCACACATTATGTAAAGATTCTTACACCCTGACAATGAAGACAATCAGATTACAATGCAGGTACAAGTTATGAACAGATATTTCTCCCAAGAAACACAAACAGTATAACCACCTGAAACATTCTGGCTAGGAAAATGCAAAACCATGCTGAGATACTGTATGCTCATCAGGATAACTACAGAAGAAAAAAGGGAAGCTGACTTTGGCATAAGGATGAGGGACTAGAAGTTCCACTGTACAGGAAGAACAATGTGAAAAGCTGCAAAACAAAAACCATGGAATAGAGTGCCTACGTTCCAAAGCCAATATAAAGTGAGCATGTGACTGAGCAATTTCACACCTGTGGACAGGCATAAGAGAACAGAAAACATACACTAATAGCATGAGCATTGTGCTAGTATATGAATAACTAAAATATCCATCAGTGAATGAATGGGCAAGGCAAAAATGGCTCCATCCGTATACTGGAATTTTATTAAAATAAAAAAGAAAAAATATTAGCAGGCAAGATGGCTCATGATGTAAGTGTACTCATGCAAACCTGACTACCTGGATTTGATCCCTAGACTCCACGGTAGGAGAGAACCAAGTCCTAAAACTTTCATAGGCAAGCAATGACATGCAAGTATGCTCCCCCAAACAATAAAAATGACTAAAATAAAAATGAAAGCCGTGGAGCTGAATAGATGGCTCAGTGCCATCTAGGCATGAGGACCATGTAAAAGCTTAGCCCTGTCTGCCGTGCTGCCGGCGTAAGTGCATCCCTGAAGCTTTCTGGCCTTGATGCCCAGCAGAATGAATAAGTTCCAGATTCAAGAGAGCTGCTGCCTCAGAAAGACAGGCTGGAAAGTGCTCAACAGCACCATGTGACTCAATGCATACACATGTGCGGGTATGCGTGGGCGCGCGCGCGCGCACACACACACACACACACACAGGTATACAGGTGCACACACACACACCACGTGACTCAATGCATACACATGTGCGGGTGTGCGTGGGCGCGCGCGCGCGCACACACACACACACACACACACAGGTATACAGGTGCACACACACACACCATGTGACTCAATGCATACACATGTGCGGGTGTGCGTGGGCGCGCGCGCGCACGCACACACACACACACACGAATAAAACACTTGCAGACAGAGTACATCAAGTGAGATGGGCAAGTACAGAGAGACAGACACCACTTGATTCCATGTCTATGCCATGTCCATTGAAGAAGAGTCCACAGGTTGACGGGTGTCAGGGACACAGGGCAAAGTGGGAAGGCAGTGCTGTCCCTGCTAATGGTTACTGCTCTACTCTCAAGGCAGTGTTGTCCCTGCTAATGGTTATGGGTCTACTCTCAAGGGATGGAAACGTTCTGGAACTGGATAGCAGTAGTGACTGTGTAAAATTGTTTACTGACTAAGTAAACACTTTAAATGGTCAGCTTTATATTACATGAAATTTCATGCTGTTTGAAAGATACTGCAGGAGAATACAACTAATGGGAAGAATAGCAGAAAAAACAAGTTAAAATTTAATCAGAAAAATCTAGCTGGAAAAGAGATGGTTAAATGGGAGAGAGCCAGGTGTGATGTACTTATCACCTGAGATGCTGGAGACACACACACACACACACACACACACACACACACACACACACACACACACACACACACACACACACACACAAGAGAGAGAGAGTCAGAGAGAGAGAGAGAGAGAGAGAGAGAGAGAGAGAGAGAGAGAGAGAGAGAGAGAGAGAGAGAGAGAGAGCGAGCCTGTGTTTAAAAATAGAGCATTTTGTAACGTCCTTACAATGCTGACATAAAAGCTTGTACGGAATCAGCTAGAATTGGTCACCACCATCACAAGTGCTAGATACCATGTCTGCTTGAGTACCCATCTGTTTTCTCCAAAAATTTCCCTCACAAACTATAGTCAAAAAATCCTTACAATGGCACAGGGAGCCACCAGCATCCAGAATGTGCCGGATGCCCGTCACTCATCTTGAGATAAGTCCAGTTAACTTCTGGCCAAATGAACCATGCCTATTATAGAAACCTCCCTGGCATAAAACCATGAGTATTCACTGATTTTGCTGCCACCCAAGGGATGTCCAGAGGTCCCAGTGAAGAACCCTCTGTAAATCTGGCTTGGTCCCTGGTGCCTGTGGTCAGACAAAGTTTACTGTTTGGGGGAGGACCCTTTTGTTTTGTTTTTTTCATGCTGCAAACATCAATTAAGTCAAAGACACCCAGGTCCTCTCCTCTTTCCACAACGTCCTGATGATTAAGGAATGGCAGCTTGGAAGTATAGACCGAGTGTGAAACGGCAGGAATACCATTTTAATTTGAGTGCTGTCAGTCAGCTGCTGCACAGTGTAGGCGTCTTCCGTGTTGTACTGAAGCAGGATTGCCATCTGGAATGTGGATGCCTTCAAGGCCCCCAGAGAAAGAAAGAGAAATGTGAAAATGCGGAAAGGTCTTACAAATACAACCTATTTTCACTAAACAGTCTTCAACAGACGCAAAAAAGAAAAGGGAATAAAATGTCAGAAGTCCCAGGTAACATACATTTTCCCTTAAGTCACTGAAACCTGTCCTCTATACAAAGATAACTATATAAGCATCTCCACTCTTGTATAAATACACACCAGGTCAAAGACATGAGTTTTGAACTATGTTTTATATACAGTAAAGCAAAAGTGACTTTGGTACATATCATGGATCTATTATGTGTATGTGTTCACATTGACAGAGACCTCCAGACCAGGTATAACGGTTACCAATGTAGGTTGAAAGGTTAAGCTAGGGAATAGTTTGAGACAACCATTCTAATGTTTTTAACACTGAAAGAAATTTATAATTATTGTTACCAGCTCACAACTAAGACCATCTTATGATATGAAATAAGCATGTACATCTAACACACCAAGTACAGAAGTTAAAATAGAAAGAATCTAGACCAACAGAAAATGTCTTAACAGCTCTGCAACACATAAGTAAGAGTACAGTGTCCCCTAAACGACCCCGCTTTCTCATCCACAAGAGAAATGAGTCCTACAGCTATCACTATTCAGCACTCCACGCTAAGGAGTCTTACCAACGTGAGGCTAAGAGCTGTGACTACAACTAGGTATGTTAGATGTCAGCTTTTAAATATGTCAAGCAAGGGACATGCCAGACACCTACCAAAGAGCCTGTCTTAACACTTAACCCAAAATGGAGGAGAAAACCGAGGCTCAAAGTAAGGAGGTAACTTGTCCCCCAGGCTCCCCTGACCACTTTGTCAGAAATGAACTCTAGCAGGGTTTCTATAATCTGTCCTATCATCATTTAGTAATAAAATAACCACACCCATTAAAAAGATGGCCTTACCTGAAGAGTGTATCTGTTTTTGAAGCAATTAGTGACTAGTTCCCCTTTGGACAGCTGGTACAACCATGTCAGTTTTCTGCCGCTGTGGCGGCTGGCATAGAAGGCTGTAAACCGTTGATAGCTGCGCTCCAGCTGGACGAAAGAACCAGGCTATGTAGCATCGATGGCTCCACATTCTACAGTCAGCTTTGCTAAATAAAGCTCCCTGCCCAAGTTCTGAGAACAAAATCAGTGCTCAGAGACGTGGACCTCAGCTGTTAGGCACAACTGTTTCGTGAGCACTGTAAGGCACTGGAGAGCAGAACCACAGTAGGTCTCTACTTCAGACCCAGTAGGTACCAGAGAATTCACCATGCAGCCAATGAGATTCTCCACTCTACAGGAGTAAATCAACACTGCTGCAGCAGAGTTGCAGACTTCTGCTACCCAACCCAGACCCACTTCCTGTTCTCCGTGAGCACGGCTCCAACTGCTCAGCACAGCACTGCTGGGCATACTAAAGGCCAGGCCGCCCCCTGCCCTCTCCACACAGGTGACAACCCTTACCTCAGACGGCAAGGCAAACGTGCAAGACTGCTGGAAGGGCCACGATCCGGAACTGAGGACCTGGATACTGAAGTCCACTGGGGTGGGAACACATTTAATAACCCTTACAAATTTAAAAATTCTATGGTTTTACATACACAGGAAATGATCAAACTTAAAGAAATACATTGAAAGTCTTACTTAAATATAAAACTAAGACTTTAACACAGAGTTTCAACTTATCCAATTAAAATTAGTAAAAATGGAAGTCTAACTTTGTGGTGTACACTTGTAATCCCAACATCAGACACAGAGGACCATGAGTCTAGGGTAGCCCTACACAGGCAGATGCTCTATGTCAGAAACTCAAGACTAAAGGTTGCAGAACAGGAAACTGCTTTCCTCCGGGACAACAATTCTCCACTTCACTGTCAATATAGAGTTCCAAGCTGGTCTGCCTTGTTCAATTTCATTTTTTTTTTCCATATGAAGTTAAGCCTGCTCAAGCAGTATGTGGTGACCAGGAATGGTTTAACAGCCACAAATACAAGGACATGGAAAGCTCAACAGCAAACAACTACCTCCACTACAGCTTGTGGACCATTTATACCGTGAAGACAGATCGTAGAGACATGCATAACCTACGAGTTAGGATAATTTCATCTTCACAGACAACTTAGATGTCTATTAGCAAAACCAGCAAGCTTAATGATGATACAAGTTCTGGTTTGGGAAGACAAGTCAAGCCCACACATCAGCAAAGCCCAAGCTGGAACATGTGGTGGTATCTTCCTTGTACACCTAATGCCTGTCTGAGGGTCAGAGAATGGAGCTTGCCACTAGCTCACCACAGAGGTCTGGAGGTCTGTACAGACAGGAAGTGAGGTAGCTGGGCAGAAACAGGATATAAGCAGGGAGAAACAGGAAATTGCTCCCTTGTCTGCTGAGACGCTAAGGTTAGGTGTGCCGTGGCTCCTTCTCTCTGATCTCTCAGCATTCCCCTCTAATCCAACTCTGGCTTTGTCTAATCTAGGCCGATTAAGAATGCATTTACAGGAACATGTGGCATGGCATCATCTGGTCCTGACAAAGGCTGCCATCACACCATCCTGGAGTTCAGAGAAGCCACTTGGGAGAAAACTGTTTCTTAGTCGTTGGAATTCTGTCACCGTCTCCCACCCTTACTCCATATTCTGTCACTTTTCTCCTCTGCAATGATGAGCCCCGAAAAGTCATTTTATGAGCACTTAATACTCACAGTCCAGTGGTTCTGAATTTGTTAGGTGCTTTTTGAACTGTTCATTCAGATCTTTGCTTACACCAATGTCTTGAAACATTCGCTGAAGTTTGGAGGTGTACTCAAAACCACAAGCTTGCTGAAATGAACCAAGGCATTTTATCATTAATTCATATAGAAACATGGAATATATTCAACGTATATAAGGGAATTTTAGAGAAATCACACTACAACATCTTTGTTATATGAGACTACTACTAGTAATATTTAGTCATATCATAGTATAAATATATACTGATTAAAATTAGTATGTGATAAAAAGATCATTAAAAATCGAACAATTAAGATTTTAATATGCAACAAGTATACTGCAGCATTTAAAACAAGGTGTTCTACCACTTGAGTAGAGTACAATTGGGAAATGATCACAGCCTGCTGTGGTGATGCGCATCCATCTGAAAGCCCAGCACTCAGGAAGTAGAGGCAAAGGATCACACATTTGAGGCTAGCTCAAGCTGTCACAAATGCCCTTTAACCACCCCCCTCCATATCCCAAATAATCTGTTTGTCCCTTATCCTACTACCAAACTGTCTCCTCCAGAATGGGCCTGAAGCTTAAACCTCTATGTTGGAGGAGATGGGCCAGCCCTTGTGAGTTCATGAGTGTAGGGCTCTTATCACGGGGGTGGTGCCTCTGTAAGAGGGTGCTCTCTTCAGGAATGGAGACTTAACTTCTGTGCCTAAGTCACCCGGTCCATCATCGTATTTTGTTTTGGCAGCCTGAGCTAAAGCTGCTAAGCGTCCACCCAAAGCCAACAAGGCTGACTGTGTGGGAGGCAGGCGAGTCCAAGCAGGGCTCACACGACACCCACACCCACAGCTGGAGTGCGCCAGGGAAGCAGGGCTCCCACGTACAAACTCCTGTGCCCACTGCCAGCACGGAGAGGCTGATAACCACACCCACAGAGTTCACCAGGGAGGCAGCACCTTTAACTTGGAGATCATGCTTGCTTCAGCATCGTCGCTCGCGCTGTTCTGATGCACCAGTCTCTTAGCGAGCATCTTTGCATAGAACTTCTGAAATACATCTTTGTCCTCGATGTACTTGAAGACCACCATCTGGCAAAGTCAGGAGAAGAACACATTAGTGAAGTCAACTCACAAGCTAACTATCGCTGGCTGGCACCAGGAGACAAGGATTGCTTGGTTTTGGGTGACCCTGTGTACTAACCTGTACAATGCTTATAATAAGTATTGCCATCCATTCCTTAAATCCCAGTTGATTAACAGTTTTTGCTATTGTGACTTAGTAGCAAAAAACAAAGTACTAGGGCTGGAGAGCTGTCTCAGTGGATTAGAGTACTTGCTGTTTTTACAGAGGACCCGAGTTCTATTCCTAGCACATGGTAGTTCACAACCATCTGTAACTCCAGTTTCAGAGGATCTGCCTCAGACACCAGGTATACATGTGGTGCGGACACATACACATGTGCAGGCAAAACACTCATATGCATATAATAAAATAAATCAATCCCTGAATAATTAAATGAAACAAAAAAGTAAGCAAAGTTGCAACACTAAAACTAGTAAGTCAATTTGAGGAGTAAAACCATGAATTCAAAATCAAATGCCTATTACTGTGCACATCACAAAGGGCAATGGGTGTGGCCCAGAAGCACCTTACCACTTGATTGAGGGTGTCCTCTAGCTCTGCCTCTTCTGGGTTCTTGGAACTGAAATGGAAAAGGGGCAGTGCGTTTACAAACAAGCCAGCAGATGTGCACACAAACCACTCTGTCAAACTGGCAGGGCCACACGGGGTTTCAAGTATTACATGATGAGCTGTCAGATCAGCTGGTGAGCAAGGGGAGTCACTTTCCTTCCCGAAGGCAACTTGGCAGCCTCACACTGTACGTGATCATGGAAGAGATCTTAAAGTAGTCACAATATCTAAGATAAGTATCAACAGAAGCTAATCACAGTATTATAAAGTTTTCCTTTAAGATACCCATTTAAATATCATTCTTACAATTGCTTCCTATAATCTATACTACTTTTAAAAAAATAGAAAAACACATACTTTCTGTTTAATGACCTAATAATTAAAGGTAATGAAAGGTTTGAGCCATGGGTGAGGTGTGCTTTCATCTGTGGTCATATCATTAAAACAATTGATTAATTTATTCTATGAATATAATTAAGAAAAGGTAAACTAAGGGTGAATTGGCTTTTAAAAAAAATTGTAGAAGGATCCTGTATAAAATGTACGGGTTTGCCTCAACCTTAGACCAAGAACTCCAGACAACTAAGGAATGCATAGATCAGGAGAAATAGTCTTGCTTAAGAACAGAACACCAAATAGTCAGCCCTGAAATCATATACATACTCATAACATTATACAGACTGAGCAGGCTGTATCTCTGTATTTAGGAACACACACACACACACACACACACACACACACACACACACACACACACGCATCACCACCACCACCAAACAGCAATTAAAGGAAAAGTCATGAATTGAATTGTGTGGTGGGGTGTAACATGGGAGGGAGCTGAGAGGGAAGAAAGGTAATTTGTATTATAATCTCAAAAAGCAGAACAAAAACAACTGGTCAAACAATCTCTAAAACAATGTTGTCATTTGTTGCTGTTTTGAGATATCCCGTGCTACCGCCCAACTCTTAGAAATCTTCCTGCCTCAGGCTGAGTGCTAGGATTACATGAATGAACGTACCATCATATCCACTATCTCTCCTCGTTGCTCGATGCCAGCTACTCTACACACCAAACAGACTTGCGAAAGCAGCACTCTGGAATGTCTCCACCACTCAGTTTTAATAGTCGTGACTATTTAACTGTAGACAATTATGGGCATACAATTGTTTGTTCTGTCACACAAACTGAAGGCCTCATGGAGTAACTCTGAATTTAAGTCACTCAATCATCTACAACGAAATGGCTGAGAAGCAGCACCAAGTCCTAAGAGGCACCAAGTATATAATAACTCCTTTTTCCAAACCAGCAAGATAACTCAGTGAAAGGCACCTGTCGTCAAGCCTGATGACCTGAGTTTGATGCCAGTATTTCACGTGGCAGAAGGAGGAAACGGATTTCTGCAAGTTGTCCTCTGACCTCCAGAAATGTGTGGTGACATCTGTGCCCCCAAAATAAATGAAACACATCACTAAATGTAAAGTCCTTTTTTCCTCCTTGGAAAGAATACATAAGTGCATCTGACTAGAATAAATAATATATCAGGACAGCATGACAATATACAGAGAGATAATAAAATACTCAAGTTCCCACTGGCTCTGGGAGGATGGCTTTCTGGCAACACTAAAAGAAACAGCTATTTAAAAAGTAATTTAATTTTTAAAAATCGATAGCAAGTGACCTTTACTCAATGTGTGCCCACCATGTACCAAGCAGACATCACAGTGAGCTGTCAGGCGGGCTACTGCTGAGCTACCAGCACAGTCTGAGGGTGCTGCACAGCCTACATGTAGTACAATTATTCTCCAGTTCACCGACGATGTTGATTTGTTAACTTAAGTTGTGCATGTGTCTGTACGAGCACCATATGTACAGGGTAGCCTACGGAGCTGGAATACAAACGTTTGTGAGCTGTGCAATGTAGATAAGAACTTAACGCAGGTCCTCTGCAGGAGCAGCAGGTGTCTGACAGCTGAGCCACCTCTCTGGCCCTGATGGTGAGACTGACTGCCACTGTTCACACTGGCATCTGTGGGTGCTCTTAGCCTTGGAGAGCTTTTAAAACCACAATGCACTGGCACTAGAGCCAGCACAAGTTAGGGTCTGTTTCCTGCACGGCGTCTGGTGATGGGGCATGCGGAGCACTGAGGCAAACAATCAGCATTTTTGGACCAGAAGGAACTGTGACAGGGAGAGGCTGAGAACCAGGACACACAGCAGCAGGGACACCACAGGAGGAAGCCATGCCTCACCAGCCCTTCTCCATCTCCAAAGACAGGTCAGAAGATGAGGAAAAGTGCCAGGTAAGACATAAGGGACTGAAAAATGAATACATAGCACCAACAAATGACGAGATGAAAATAAAACTAAAGTATGCGGCACACTCTGTAAACCCAGTATGGAAGGCTGGGGCAGTTCTGAGGCTAGCCTGTGCTACCCAGCAGCTCTGTGAAGTGTATACTGAAGTGTACAGAGCGTCAGTGGGAGCTGATGCAGCTGTCAACAATCGTGATGCAACACGAGCACGCCTCCCGCACATATGGGATCCCTGAGTAAAGCTGAGGCTTAGAGAGGGTTCCTAGGAAAACTACAAATCAAAGACGGTACCTTTTCTTCAGCAAGGAGTCACAGTACCGAGCAAGCAGCTCAGGGGATTTACTGGATGACTGGGCCATTTTGGTAACTGCATTGTTGTTTATGAAGCGACCACAAGCCTGTTATACAAAAGAGAGTTAGAGAGAAGGTGCTCTGTTCATACACACTGAACAGACAGTACAGTGACACGCTCACCTTATCAAGTGCAGCCACGAAGCCAGCATCATTGTTGAACGCTGACATCACCAGGGCATTGTACTTCTTATGGACATCCAGAACCGTCTGCACATACATCTTTGGGTCCTTTTATGGGGGGGAAACCAGAACCAAACAGGAATTAAAGAGCATATTCTTCTGCTGCTGTAAAACATTCTACAAGTGTTAACTGTATCTTCAAAGAAGTTAACATGATCAGGAATACTTTTGGCTCCACCACTAAAACACAAAGGGCATTGTGTTTATGTGTAAAACAAAGTAATTCTCCAGATTAAAAATTAAATACCTTAAAAAAAAAACTGGAAGAGATCATGAAAATATTTTCATTTTCAAAATGACAACAGGTTTAAACACAGGAGGGCACACAATGGCAACTGTGTGGTCACGGCCAGGGACCAGCACGGAGCACACGGGGGTGGGCAACAGGGGCTCTATAGACCAAAGACCACAGCGGGACATTAGTCCCATGACAGAGGACACAGACCACACTGGTGGACGGGCAGACGGACAAGCTGCGCAGTAGCAAGTGGCTCATCATCAGCAGTCACTGTCATGACAGAGGCAGGCGCCGTTTTAAATGTCCACTGTAGGTGACTGAGCTAAGCCACACTTCTTACTAACGTGAGTGGCAGACTCAGGAAGATGACCCCTGAGTTACATATGTTCTCTTCTCTTCAGCTTTCACATAGGAAGCTTGACTAGCCCTTCGCAACCCAGGAGCTGTATACAGTGCACACAAGGGAGGTGTTCTGGCGATGCCTCCAAAGTCACTGCTGACAGTTTTGAGACGGTATTTCTCTATGTAGCCCAGGCTGATCACAAACTTGTGATCCTGTTGCTTTACCCTGCAGAGATTACAGGTGTACTAGACCCTAGTTCCTGACACACTATTTTGCATGATTCAGGAATGAGAAAACAGAATCCCTTGAATACTAATTACTTTGCATTTTTGGTAACATTTGTTTTAATTTAATAATGGGTAAAAACAGAACCCTATCATGCAATTATTTCATATAAGTTGCAAGTGTGTATTGTTTAAAAACATAATCAATGCAAAATTATCATGAAACAATAATCTTGTTTGTCATTAAAGCCCACATTACTTTGGTGGGTTCAGGTTTACACTGCTTTCTGATCTCACATTAAATTACTACTCAGTGTTCATATCTTCTTCTTTTACAGTTTCCATGGTCGCTGTTTTTACAAAGAACTCCAAACTACAGCAAGCATCCAAACACAGGAAAAGTAAGTAGCCACTACTGGACCACTCAGAGCCCATACAGAGGATAGCATCCTTTAAAGAACAAGCTGAATATCAAAACTGCCAATTCACAGACTCAGCAGTGCTGATCAAACCGGGCACTTTGAGGACTGCCACTCACAGGATTCATACAAGGTAGATTGTGTGTGTAAACATTCTAGAACTTACAAGAATGACTCAAGCTTAGAAGTGGAGGGGCTATAGACTCATGTACTGAGAAGGTAGGTGACGAGCCTGCAGTGCCCCTCCCACAGGCTCTCATCTCTCACTGTGGCTCCTACGTGCTGTGCTGACTTTACCCTTTACCTCTGGGCACTGGCTTTCCTGCTGTATCTTGACTTACAGTAATGACTATATTATAACCTCTTCTTTGGCTTTTTCATTTTTTAAAATTATTCCCTCAGATTTAGGATTTGGAAACAATTTTTTTAGTAAATGCTCAGAAAAAATTTCTATATGGAGACACAAAGCTTTGCAAAGAATAAAGCAGCCTCCAGATTGACTCTAGATTCTCCATATGAGAGAAGACCCAGCAGAGTTTGGCTGAGGGGGAGAACTGACAGCAGCCCATAGAATAATGTGCCAAGACAGCAAGCTCTGGAAAAGTGACTTTAAAACTTCACTACTGTTGTGTGTATGCACGACATGCTTGCGTGTGGAGGAGGGGGTACCACAGTACTAGGGTGGAGCTCAGATGACAACTTTTTGGGGTGAGTATTTCCCTTCTACCGTGGGTCCTGGGGATCAAACTCGGGTTGCCAGGCCTGGCCGTTGCACCAGCCCTGGTTTTTGTTTTGTTTTCTGAGGCAGGGTCCCACGGTTCAGGCTACTTTCCTATGTGCTCCATAGCCAAGGATAGATAAGCCTTGGGTCTCATCTTCCCGCCTCTGCCTCCTGAGTGGTTGAGTTACAGGCATGTGCCATCATGCTGGCTTTGAAGAAACATTTTAGGTTTAAAACAAAATGAACATAATAGTAGTAAGTCTGGTTCATATCCATAACAGTATGTGAAAGGTTTCTTTTTCATATAAGAAACACAACTCCTCTCAGTTCCCAAGGAGCTGCTCATGATTCTAAAAGCTGTTAAAACCGACATATCTAACACCCAGACCAAAGTCGCCACCAACCTTGCACAATCTGCCCTTCAGAGTCCAAGTGATTCTATATTTCCTAAGCTCCAATTGGTTGATCGCACCCCCACTGTTATTTCATCTTAGTTGTTTCAACAAAACTTAGTGCTATTCTTACAGCCACTCTTACTAATTTCAATCATTTTCTATATGAAGCAATGTTTTGAATAAAAATTGATCTTGCCAAGTACATGGTTATTAATATTAATACCCTTAGCAGCTTTCCTTGTGCCCTCAGGGTGGAGTTGACAGAATGCACATGCTTCCACATTCTCCCATCTCTACCTTCCCAGCCTCTCCTCAAGTCCTCTGTCCTACAGTCACGTGATGGCTCACAACCATTTACTCCAGTTCTAGGGCATCTGAAGCCTCTATTCTGACTTCTTCAGGCATATAAGCATTTAAGCAGAAACACTCATATAACACTAAAACAAGATGAAAAAGGAGATCATCAATACTTAAAAAGGTGCTGGAGAGGGCTGGGTATGGTTTTGCAGCACTCAGGAGGCAGAAACAAAGAGACAGGTGAATCTCTGTCAATTTAAGGATATCATGGGCTACATAATGAAATCTTGTTTTAAAAAATGTTAAGTAGTTAAAGGATCTTGTGAACTTCCTACTTTCAAAGGCTAAAACAGGTTCTCTGAGAACGTCAGTCACATCTTCCTAGAATTACCAGCAAACACGCACTGCACACACCTGCAGTTGGCGTGAGAAAAACTGGCTCATGTGCACTCAGCCAGGCCCTACTTACATTTAAAGCAGCTTCTCCACACTTCTCAATTGCCGCAAGACCCTGATTATGAATATGTGTCTCTAGTAGTTTTTTCAATTCTCCTAGGCCATCCTGAATTCTAGATACAAGATTATACATGCGGCCCAAATCTGAAAGAAAAAAGGAGCCAATTTTATGCATGGAAACCAACTGTGCATACCTATTCTGCTCATTATATGTTTATATAAAGCGAAACCGGAAACCATCTAGATCTGGTACTTTGTTAACATCAGGCTACTGGAAGTTTATTTCTCCTTTACCATGAGAACTCACTACTGTAACAACAGAGAAAAAGTACTCAATGCCTTCTAAAATCCCGATGAGATACTATTTATGCCACAGAAGGTACTAAAATATGTTTGAAAAATAAACTTAATATAGAAACTCATTTCAACTCTAAGTCATGGAGGGATCCCCAAATCACTCACTTTGTGTATGTGTTCAATCTATGGTGGTTAAAGATGGAAAATCCTAAATCCCAATAGCAATGTGACTAAGCTACTAACAGTTCCCACTAGCACAGAGGAGCAATTAAGGGAAGAGAAAACAAAACAAGAACATCTCAAAAAAAAAAAATCCACCCACCATTGGTAATACCAACAAAAGTATGTGGTACAAATTATATTCACCTTCATTCTTGTCAGCATCCAACAAATTCTGAAACTCTGTGTGGAAAATTTCCAAGTGTTTTTCGATGAGGACCTGCTCACATTTCCGGGCTAGTTCATCTTGTGTGCTCTCATGGAGGTAAACCTGCACTCTCCGCTGCTCTTCAAGCAAACGCGCCTCAGCCTGCAGAGAATTCAATCAAAGCACGGTTTGATTCACTTTTAAAGAACTAGTACATGGACAACGACAATTTACATTCATAAATCTGCTCTAGCAAAGTATGATTAAGCAAAGGGGAAAAGGACTTTAGACTGGAGGGTAGTCTCTGGCATGCTCTACTCTCTGCAACACAGGCTCTAATTCTTTAAGTGCCCTAAGAACAATATTATAATTAACAATTCAAATGTCTTCATATCATCATTCATTCATTTATTCATATTTTGGAGGCAATGACCCACATTCTTATGACCATGAGAGAAACCTACAGGTCCTTTCCAACACACGGACTCTGAATTAAGAAGCACTACTTTGGTTTGAAAGCTGTCTGAATTGAAGGGTCACACCAATATAATCCTAGAAATGACCACTCAGAAATAATCATTGGGAGGGAGGGAAGGAGAGAGGGAAGGAGAGAGAGGGAGGGAGGGGGAGAGAGAGAGAGAGAGAGAGAGAGAGAGAGAGAGAGAGAGAGAGCTTCTTTTGTCAGTCACTGAACATACACCTCACCTCAAAAGCCCACTTGGTCACTTTAGCAGTCTCAACTTCATGGATTTCTCTCCAAGGAAGAGAGACTAACAGACAATATAATACAAAAAAACCCAAGTAAAAGATGGTATATTTTAGAATCTGTCACCTAAAACTGTGGTACAGAGTCACTGAGAAACTGTTACACTATCAGAGCAAGCAAGAAATTTCAATGATAGCCTTGAATTATTCAGGTGATCTGAATAAAAAAGACAAAAATGGTATTTTACTTTCCTCTCAGATTTGGTATAATGGTGGATAAATCTGGAGAATTGCCATTGGAATTTAATAAACATTCAATACCAAGCCAACTGTCTACGCAGAACTTGAACTATCAAATGGTAGTTACTAAACTGCAGGAAATCTGCTAGAGCCTCGGCACACAATCACACTTTCCAGAAAGCCAAACATGCAAAGTGAACTTAAGCACAGTGAACTGTATCTGCATCACAAAGCCTTAACACAGAATGCTCTAACCCACCAGTAAGTCTATCCAAAAGGACAGAATGAGGGAGAAGATAAGCCACAAAGAAACATGAAAGTTTGAAGTTAGTAAATTTCTGATAAGAAACTTAATAAAAACAAAATAGCCCCCTCCCACAAAAAAAGCTCACAGCAACATTCTAGTATGCTAAGGATCCCAGGCTTGTGAGTCTATCATTGGGTGTTTTACAAAGTCTTTAATTTGTACTTTTGTTTCTTGTACTACAAAGTTCTTCTAGAACAATAAATGCCACGTTCAGGCTCTGCTGTTAAATTCCAGGGTTTCGTTCCATCAGATACTGAAGAGCAGAAGCAGACACATTGAAGTACCACTCTTCCTGTTTTAAGTTATACCGTTTCTTGGAAGAACACAGATCATCCTGGTCAGGAAAACAAAGCTTTTATTCCTGTGCAGAAGGCTAAGCTTTGATGTCCTTGTGTATTCTCTTAGGAACACGGACTATGGTCTGTTTACCGAGCTTCCTGCAGGGGCCAAGTGGCATAAAAGAGGAAGCAGGCCCCTAATTGGGGACTATTTTGTGGTGGCAGGTAGTTTTACTGTTGCTCATCTCATGTACTGATCATGAAACAGCAAGATCATATTCAAATAACTAAGTACCCTAAAGTTCTTGAAAATGACCGTGATTAACTCCATTAAAAGCAATTCTCAGCAAAAGCAAAGGGGTAGAAAAAACAGAACTGAAAGGTTGGTAAGCAAATTAATAAGTTATTTTATGTAAAAGTGTTTTGGCTACATGTATGTGTGTACACCATGTACCCACAAAGGCCAGAAGAGGTTGCTGGATTTCTCAGAACTGTGGTCACAGATGGCCATGAGCTACCACGTTGTTGCAGGAAACCAAACCCAGGTCCTCTGCAAGAGCAATATCTACTCTTTTAACTCTTGACCAATCACTCCATCCCATATTATTTTTAAATACTAAAATATTAGGAATCTAGAATACTCATAAGTTCTTTTTTTTATAGGTCAGATTAGTCTTAATCACATGAGATAGATTTCAAAGTGTTAAGATGGCCTATAACTGTTATCAAATGTTCGTACTAAAATGCAGACAACAGCAAACTAAACAGATACCCCACCTAGGGACTGTGAACACCTAGCTCAAACAGGCTGTTGAAAGCAAGTTATTGATGGGAGGATGTTATTTTGTATATGTTTCTCTTACTGGTTGATGAATAAAACACTGATTGGCCAGGCAGGATGATAGGCGGGGCTAAGAGACAAGAAGAATTCTGGGAAAAGTAGGCAGAGAGGAGTTGTTGTGTGAGGCCACAAAGCGGACACGAGTCAGGAGCTCTCTGGTAATATAAGACTATGTAGAAATATATAGATTAGTAGTTACGGGTTAATAATTAAGACAGAGCTGGCCAATAAGAAGCCCACCACTGCCACTGCCAACAGTTTCATAATTAATATAGCATCTGTGTGTTCATTTGGGGCAAGGCAGCTGTGGAACCGGGCGGGAATTCTCATAACAGGGTATTACCTCAGTATTATTGTACTAAGATGTATGCGACTTGATTGTTTTAATACAAATGTAATTTCTTCTCAAGTTACCTAAGTTGCCAATTTTATCTGGTGGTTTCCAACCTGCCTAGGCACATGCTGGAGACTGTGTAAGGCCAGAGTCCTCCATCAGGTTTGCTTTGCTACACCTATCTACAGATCCTTTCAATACAGACATCTAGTGTATATACAGTTTCAAATCTCCTTACACGATTTCAAACGTAAAGCTTACCAAATCCCCACCATAACCTACAATTATTATTCCTGATCACAGGTAAGGAAACTGAGGAACAGAGCGATCAAGGTCATCATCCTTTAACTTTTAGAACTAGTGGCCCAGTTCAAGACACAAGGATATAAGATTTCTGCTGTGTGAAATGAAAGTGTTCATGTGGCTGAATTTATATACTGTTTGTTGCTAAGAGTCTAAATCATGGATTTCCAGAAAAAGATGGGAGTCATGCTTGGTATGACTTCTAAGTGGATCAGGACCAGAGCTTTAACGTTTTTAAAAAGTTTCCTAGAAGTTGGACACAGGCTTGCGAATATCCTACACACTAGACACTGTTATTCTTGAAGTTGCCAAACAAAACAGATCTCCTTTTTTAGTGTGCTCATGCAGCACTGTCCTAAAACTTGCTTTCCGCCGGGCGTTGGTGGCGCACGCCTTTAATCCCAGCACTCGGGAGGCAGAGGCAGGAGGATATCTTGAGTTCGAGGCTAGCCTGGTCTACAGAGTAAGTTCCAGGACAGCCACCAAAACAATACAGAGAAACCCTGTCTTGAAAAACAAAAACAAACAAACAAAAAAACAAAACAAAAACAAAAAAACCCCTTGCTTTCCTTGTGCAGCAGACATCACCATAAACCATGAAGAAGTCTACAAAGGGCAGGTTGGCACCACAATGGCACGCAACATGGAAGAAGGTTCCATTTTAAAGACATAGTTAAAAAAAAAAATCACTACTGGGCTGGGATAAGGGTGCTTGTGGCTAATCTTGATGACCTGATACCCATATGGTAGAAGGAAAGATCCACTCTACATGTATGCTAGTATGACACGCGTACACCTACATGTGTATACATGTACAAGCAGGTGTATACACACAGATAAAATAAATGCAAAAAAGATTGAAAACAGGTCTCTTACTATACTGTCACACTAAAAAATTAAATAATGGGCAATAACACAATTCAAAACAGGTTATATTTCAAATATTCTTAAGGAGCTGGCCAGGTTTCAGTCACACACAAAATCCAAAGAACTGCTACTATTCTGCACAAACAACTAAAAGTCCCACTTTAGTTGGGTTTTAAGTTATCAGAAATGTGTAATTGAGTTTCAATTTCAAACGTAGAAGACCCATTTACATCCTGGTGTAAGTGTACTATATGAAAATGTACTTTGAACACCACAAGCTGGGCATGACTTTTTCTCTAAGTCAGAAGCAGGGTGGTTGGGCTTATGCATTGTATTCTGTCTTTAAACATGGAAGCAATGACTCCACAGTCCCATCCTGCCCCAGAGAGGGCAAAGCAGCTATTAGAGTTGGTCTGAACCAGACTTGAAAATTTCGTGCATTCAGGAGAGGAGTCACCAAACTCTACAGTCTGCTGGGAAAACCCTGATGGACATGTCTTGTTTATTTGCACATTGCTATGACTGTTGTGAACAGCGGTAGAAAAGATCACACAGCATGCAAAGCCTGGAAGTAGCTAACAGAAAGCCTGCAGACTCTTGACACAGCCATTCCTCAGACCTTCCATCCACAATACCTGAATTTCCAAGACAGACAAAAAAAAAAAAAAAAAAAAAATTAGTTCATGGAAGCACCGTGTAGTAAAATAATGCTTGTAGAGTACAACATACGGCTCTTCTCCCAAGTCAGAACTTAGATCCTCCTTCCTAATACAATCTTGAAGACTAAGCTATGGACTCCTAGGAAATATTTAAGAAAAAAGTAGCAAAAACAAACAAAATAGCTAGCAAATCTCGGAATATCTGCTTAATACTTTCTCATTGACAAAATTTTGGGGTCCACTAGTCAGTCACACTCAAGAGATGATTCAAAACATGAAGGTGTACAGTTATCAAGGCACTTCCTTTGATGTGTGTGCGTGCACTCACTCACTCACTCACTCACTCACTCACTCACTCACTCACTCACTCACTCACTCACGATTATCAATTTGTGAAAGTCCCTTGCAGAGTTACAGGAGCATGGCGTGAGTTCAGCGCCACGCCTGACTTGTGAGGAACACTGCACTACCAAGAGCTCACGGGAGAAGCAATGACTATTTAGCTTACATCTACTTTACATACTGTGTATGTTTAAGCTTACCTTCTTCATATATTCAGTAACTGGGTTCTGCTGCAAGAATTCAGTACTTTCTCTGGTATAAAATCTCTCTGTGTCAGCCAAAAATTGAGACTCAAAGGATTCTTTATACACTGTTAACGTAGGGCCCTTTGCAAAAGCGTCATCTTCATTCAGCCCCAATTCCACTAGAAAGAAATATGAGCTGCATTTACCCCGATTTTTGTTATATTTCACAGATAATACTTTTGCGTAACATGCAGTTTAAGTTACACTTGAAAGATCAATGTATAGCCAAGCGTTGGCTAAGTGGTGCACACCTTTAATCCCAGCACTTAGGACGCAGAGGCAGGTGGATCTCTGTGAGTTCGAGGCCAGCCTGATCTACACAGTGATTCCAGGACAGCCTCCAAAACAATACAGAGAAACCCTGTCTCAAAACAAAACAAAACAAAAAAAAGATCAACTATAGTGGAGGGTTGAAAGGTTAACTGTTACTCACTAGTATGAAACATTCTTGTTTCAGTAAGAGAAAAACAAAACAAAACAATAAACTCCAAGATGTATAGAAGTAAATCACCTCTACCTGGGCCAGGGATACTTCAAAATTATCACAAGTTCAGTTAGAGAAAGTCTACATTTCATAAAGGGATCTAAATGTTGCATGGTAAACTTTCACAGAAATGTAAATCTATTGAGCTTGAACAACACATCAGTTAATCAGGGTCTCAATTTTTCAAGCTTATAGATTTCTGGTTAGCATGGAGTCAAGAACAATCACATTCATTTTTTTCAATCAAAATTTCCTTAAAGTACAAAGATTAAACAACTTATGATTTATAAAATCACTATTTAAAAGTGCCTTAAACATAGAATATTCTTGATAATATTTAATGTTTTTAAATGAATACTAGAATTATCATAATTTCCATGTGATATGAAAACTGAATAAAAACAAATTATTTACCATAAGACTGTACAACTCCACTAATCAGTCTTGTGTTTATGGTTTCGCCATTTCTTTCCTTTTCAATCAGTTTTAAAACAGCATTTGTTACCTTTAAGAATACAGAAAAAACATTATGTAGATGTGCTACAGGTCACAATGTATCTTACACATTCTTTAAACAATTAAAGTCATTAAATAATACAAGGTAACAAATATTTTAGGGGGATGGGTATGTACATGGGCATGGAGACAGACCAGTGGACAATCTCAAGTACTGCTCCCCAGAAGCTATCGCCTTGTTTTTGAGATGGCATTTCTCATTGGCATGGAGCTCATTCAGAAGACTAGGATGGCACCGGCAGGAAGCCCCAAAGATCTGCTTGACCCTACTCTTCCGTGCTAGGATCACTAGTGGGCATCACCACACCCGCTGCCTTCCTTCCAGGGTTCTGGGAATCTACCCCAGGCCCTCATGCTTACATGGCAAGCACTTTTTCAACAGAGCCGTGTCCCCAGACCAACTCTTGAGATAGTTCAAAGGCTTGGGAAGACAACATGAAATGGGAATGTTTTTTAAAGGAAAAATACACACATCCATAGTAGATACCTGTTTATTCAATGGCCTGAACAAACAATCTCTCCACGTCACCAATGCAAGCTGGAGGAAAAAGGGGGAAAGATGCATTAGATAACCGTATTTCACTACGGTTCTCCAAAACCGGTCAGACAATAATTTGAATTCTTAGTTTTACCAAAATTGCTAGATTACAACTCAGTTAAAAAACCAAACACAACTGGTGCCACAATGAAATGAGAGCGCCTCTCAAGTGAGTCACTTTGCACAGATGTTTACCAGCTCACATTTTAAACTGAAGTTCAAAAAGAACATTGACTTAAGATGAATAGTTTATCAGCTTAAAAACCAGTAGTAGATTCAACCTCTGAATGTATTCCCTGAATCCAACAATTTTAGACCCAGATACACCTGATAAAAGTAATTACAGCCACTACCAAAGTTTCCTAACACATCAAGATAAAGAGAATATAAAAATCTTCTAACTTTTATATCTGGATTTTAAATGCAGTTTCTTATATGTTATTTATTAAAACCTCCTATTGTATTTATGTTTTCATGTGACTAAGTGTGAGACATATATTTTTGTGTGTACATGTTATATGCTCACATGTGTACCTGAGGCTGTACATATATGGACTGAGACTCAAATGTTCCTGAGCCATCTATCCCCACAGTCCCAATACATGCATGTTAGTGTGAATGTGTAAATACCATGGTCCATTTTTTCCATTCCTAGTCTTCCCACAAGTATTATACTAAGATTAATTAGTGTAAAAATCGTCTCTGAAAAGAAAGCTAGAATTCATACATGATTCTTAAACTGTTTGTTGGGAGAAGTATTAGAAAGTTAAAAAAAGAATTGGACTTTACAACACAAAGTATCAAGAAATTAAACATAAATGCTATTAGTCTCCTCCCCCAAGTTAGAGATAAAATTAAGTTTGTAAAAATGTTTTTGAAAATATTACATATACATTTAGTCTATGAAAAGTATTTTCAAAGTAGTGTCTCCAATAAATGAACGCCACAAAAGCAGTATTTAAGTTTTTACTTGTCTATCCCCCGCCCCCTCCATGGAGCACTGGCTAAGCATGTATGTCAGGCTGGCCTCCCAGGGATCTCCCTGCCTCTCCGCATACTACCAGGCCTAGCATTATTAGAAACTCTTGACTGTGGTGTGCAAGAGGGGCTAGAAGACGGAGCTCGCTGTCTAGGAGAGAAGCGACCTGGAGGCGCTCAGCCCCGCCCTCCTCCTCCCTGCTCTTCAGGGCAGCAATGACAATACAAGACTATGGCTATCAGCCCCTATACTTTAGAAATGTTTCGTTCCAGCTATTTCTAAATTACCAACTACATCCTTAGACAGACCTAACCTAACTCTGGATGATTTGTCCATTCAAAGAAATAAAGTTTTTTTTTTTTTTTTTTTTTTTTGGTTTTTACGAGACAGGGTTTCTCTGTATTGTTTTCGAGGCTGTCGGTCCAGTCCAGCCTCGAACTCACAGAGATCCACCTGCCTCTGTCTCCGAGTGCTGGGATTAAAGGCGTGTGCCACCACCGCCCAGCTAGAAATAAAGTTCTTAAAGAGCAAAAGAAGGCAAAGAGGCAAACCAAAGAAATTTCAGAGCAGGTTAGCACAAACAAGTCTTGGTGGCAAAACTTCAACACATTAACAATGAAATCACCCTAGATTTTCTGGATGACTTGGAAGGAAACCAACAACCTTCTTTAGTTAAAAACAGAAAAAAAAAAGGATCTAGAAAAGAATAAAAGCCTTGTAATTTGTCATTAAGTCACTGCATGACAACAGTCACATTTGCTAGAGACTCTGGGCTTAGCACACTTGAGACACAGAGACAGGGACACCGTTTCTAGGTCGAGGCAGTGACCGCCCTCTGCTAGAACCTATGGTTCTACCGCATTTCCAAACAGCAGCTACACTATTTGATGACACACAAAGTGTGGGTTTTAAGGCAGATTTAAAAAGTAACAAAGGTGGCTGATTCTCAGGGAGTCATTATGCAGGGATGGCTGCTCCAACTATTTGCCTGCTTCTGCCTCTCTGGTACTGGTATTAAAGGCGTATGCCACCATGTCTGGCTGAGTCTTCAGAAACATTACATATGCTGGTACTTTATTTAAACTTGTTTTAAATGTTAAACAAAGTACATGAAAAGTGAAAAAGCAGGAATGACCTTCAATAGCCTGTGATGCTGCTGTAGGGTATACACATGGAACTTCAGGTCAAGCAGCTTCCAAAAGGAAATCAACTGGAGCCATGCCAATACCTACTATGCAATTCCGAGACAAGAGAAACACCTCAGCCATTTCTTGATGGACGGGGTTCAAAACATGTTCAATGAGATAAATATAATTTTTGAAATATATTAAAGAAAAGAAAAATTCAAAAACCTCAATTCAAAAAACCTGAACCTAGAAAATGTAGTTAAAACCATATAACTCCCAGAACTTGGGAGGTAGAAACAGGCTTGAGGTCATTCTGGTCTACACAGTGAAGTTCCAGGCCAGCCAAGCCTACAATGATACCTTGTTTAAAACAAGTAAACAGAAAACCAAGCAAACAGAACCCCAAACAAAAGTCCATAGTGACCATAACGTGTCACTATGCTGGGCACAGAGAAGCCCTACACCTGAGCTGTTTTCAGTTGTTTTTGTCTAATTAAATTTGTCAAAAGCAAAGCAACAAAATATTGCTATAACACAACATCAGATTTTGACATTTTAATAAAACTGACCTCAAAAGGTTTGGACCTGACAGACATCCATGAGCAGACTAATGTTTTCAATGAGTCCTCCCCAAACTGTTCTAGAATAGTGATTTTCCTTCACTCTGCTTACCTAGGGAAGTATCTATCTGGTTCTCTTCTGCCTACCTACCTACCTACCTATCTATCATCTACCTACCTACCTACCTACCTATCATCTACCTACCTACCTACCTATCATCTATCTATTATCTATCTACCTACCTATCTATCATCTATCTATTATCTATCTATCTACCTATCTATCTATTATCTACCTATCTATCATCTGTCTGTCTGTCTGTCTGTCTGTCTGTCTGTCTGTCTGTCTGTCTGGTGTACACAAAAACCAGAGGACAACCTCTGCTGTTGTTCCTCAGGAGCCATCCACTTTGCCTTCAGAGACAAAGTCTCTTATTGGCTTATACTTGTCAAGAATGATGAGTTCCTCAGCACTGAGATTACAAATATCAATACCATGTTCTTTTTACACAGGGCCTTGTGTTTACAAGGCAAATATTTTACCAAATGAGCTGTCCAACTCTGTGGACTTTTCTATCTTTACTTTTCATTATTTTTCAGACAGGGTCGCATTTAGCCCAAGTTGGCCAGCAGCTTGTTGTATAGCAGAGATTTATGGTTCTTATGATTCTTTTGCCTCTATTTCCCAAGGTCTGGGATTACAGGTATGTGCAGTATAGCCGACTGAACCCAGGACTTCATATACACTAGGCAAGCACTCTGCTGAGTTCCCTGCCCCCACCGTGGCCCATACCTAAAGTCTCTAAGTTTAGAAGGTGGTCTGAGAATCTGCATCTCTATCTTGTTCCAAGGTGACACTAATGAAACAAATTTAGGAGTCATATTCTAAAACAAAAACCTTGAAAACCAACAAAAAAATTAATTTAGTCCTCTCTCAAATACAGAACTCTCAGACCAAGAAAATGTATGAGGATCCACTTAAGAGCTTAATCCTCAGATAAGGCACCTGACTTGCTAGCAACTGCCAGCATCTAGGATTCTAGGGCTAAAACTCAAGCAGTTCCACGCAAACTATAATTGGCCAATCAATTGAAGACACATTAAAAGTAAACACAGAACTGTTTAACTATTTATTTTACAGCTCCAATTCCCCACCTCTCTACTTTCTTGCCACCACATATTTAAATGTTATTTATCTTTTTAAAAAAATCTTACTGAATAGATTTCATATATTCCTTTTCGGCCTTCATCACATTCTCGGCGAACCCAATGTCTATTGAGGTAGGCACAGATGCCATTCAGCACTTTGCTGGAAAATCGGTAATCTTCCCACTGCTGAGTGTAGAACTTCAGCACACTCTCATCCATTAAATCTTCTCCATCCTAAAGAAAAGTACACTAAGGCTTTAGTATGGCTTGGTTTGTCACATAATCAAGACAAAACTTATCGAAAAAGTTACTGCACAAAAATACATGAATGCATATGGTTTACAGATGGGTACTTTTAATTGCTGTGTATGAAAACATACTAATATAAATTCTCACAAGAACACTAAAAAGTTAAGTTAGTTGAATATGCACATGCAGTCAGAGTGCTGTCTCTTTAGTACTAGCGAGTCAACCTAGGGTTGCTTTAGCTCTAGGCAACTGTTCTACTTTAAATTCAAGACAGGCTCTTGATAAGCTGCCCAAGTACACCTAGAACCTGGGATCATCCTCAACTTCTGGGATTATGGGTGTGTTCACCACAGCCAGTGGCAATTTCTTTACCCTGTCTCCCTTAGTTCTCATTTATTCCAAGGCTGGCCTTGAACTCACAATCTGGCTGAGGATGGCCTTGAACTTCTTTGTGTTCCTCTGTGTCCATGAAAGCTAGGATTATAGGCAAGTACTGGAATTACAAATATGAAACTACATGCTTTGCTTAGTTTTTAAGCAATTTCTTATTAAGGAATCTACTCCAAAGCATCTGTTTGACATCTTTCCAGTTTAAAACAAACAAACAAACATCAACCTATCCTATTAACAAATATAATGGAAGCTAATATAATCATTTAAAAAATATGGACCGTCTCACAAATTTGTAAACTTACAGAAATATTCATCTTAATTGTGCTATTTGTTACATTTTTAAACAAAAAACATAACTATAGCAATACAATATTTCTTCTCTAACAATACCTCAGGAAGAAAATAGGAAGTTATCAAAAATGATTTTTACTTTAAACTCCTAATTTTTACTTGGACAAAATTAATTTGAAAAGTTTGGTATTAATGACATCTCCAAAGTATGTCCTACCCTTTGAAAACACTGTGCTACCATTTACAGGTGCTGTGCTGAGTGTGCCAAAGATACAGTAAAGGCCGGACAATGGTGGCCTGTTCAAGCCTCAGTGTCTTCACGTGGAAAGCCACAGACCAGCAGAACTAAGTTCTACAAGTAACAACATTCAAGTGACCCAGCCATCTATGTAAATACCTGGCCATACCAAAGACAAAACCAGAGGTTTTGTTTATTTAAATGAAATGAATTTTAAAATGCAAAGCTGATCTATTCTAGATGTAAAATACAAATATATTGCTGATGAAATACCTACTTAAAACAGCACATGCTTTGCTTACAAGGCTTTATTTGCAAAATGATGCAAATAAAATACAAAAGGACAGGGGCTGCAGCAAGATGCTTCATGTTTAAGAATACCAAAGTGGAACATTAGTTATAACTTGTCAGTTAACCATAGTCTGTTAGAATGTGTTTCCATGCCAGGTGGTGGCGCACGCCTTTAATCCCAGCACTTGGGAGCAGAGGCAGGGGGATCTCTGTGAGTATCAGGCTAGCCTGGTCAACAAAGCGAGTTCCAGGAGAGGCTCCAAAATTGAGAGAGGAGAAAGAGAAATGTTTCCACTTAGCTTGTAAAATAATTAAGAAAAAAAATTTGTAGAATACCCTGTATATCCTTTATATAAATTAAAAATATAAACTGTACACAGAAGAGATCCAGAAATCATGTACAATACTAGTTGAGGGCTCTACTTGCCCACTCAATGGCAAGTGTAAGGCAACCCACTTCCTTTGCTATAGAACAGACTACTAAAAGACCAAAGGCAGAAAGGCCAAGGGGAAAGATTCCTCATTGCCCAAGCAATGCTTTGAGCAAATGAGCTTTTGAATCCCAGGATGTAGGCAGTTGTGTAGGCAGACAGCCCAGGCTAGGCACAGTGTCAGTCTGAAGCAGTGGACATGACAGATGACAGCATGGCAAAGTCACGGCTCGCTAAGGAAAAACAAAACAAGTACTTTATATGCTTACGTGCAGTGAGACAGCTTACCTTGAGAAGATTTGTCAGGTAATTCTTCAAAAACTCCTTCAGTCGCTTGTATAACTCTAAGCCAACAAACTGAGCTCCCCCAGGAGTCTGCCCCTTTTTTGACTTGGAAGGAGGGACTCCAGCTCCCCGCGCTTGGTTGGACTGATGCACACTAGTACAGTAGTTATAAACATGACTTGGAGAAAGTTAAGGAGGTTGACACATAGATACTAACAGTGACTAATGTGAACTTATTTCCTTCTGTTTACATATATTCTCAATACATTGATCAAAACCTGCTAAAAGTTAGAATAGTAGAAGATGCTATTCACTCTATTGATAATGTTAAAAGCCAGCAAGTCCATTCAGAAGGATGTCCACAGGCCTGGAAAGCTTATGGAACATTTTTGAAATACTGCCAAGAAAACCCCCAGACATCTAAAATTGCTTAACATGACTATTTTGTGGAAACTGTCCTGAAAATTCCAACAGGTTGGAAAAGTTGCAAATAACACGTAAAAAATAATAATTACATTATTTAGTTTAAGAAAAACAGCAGCCAACACTAATCAAAGACAATGATGCTTGCTATGAGTAACATCCAGAAGCACACGTCATAAAATATAAATATATATATATAAATAAACAAAATATAAAGAACTCAAACTTTAAGATGATTCAGAAATGGGTACCTTCTGAGAATGAGCGCCAAGTGCACGAACAGAGCCACATCTTCACTGGACAACAGCAGCGGGTCTACACACCGCTGGAAGCAGGGGGAGGCTGGCTCTAGATATGGCACGGCAGGACTTGGGGATGGGGAGGAGAAAGGCAGAGAACTGCCTCTCAGGAAGCCTTTGTGACAACTACTGTCAGATGCAGGAAGTTTTAGATACAGGACACAGTCACCAAACATACTATTCTGCTGTACTTAAGAATTTACTATATAGAACTTTAAAGGCAAGGGGCTGGAGAGAGGGCTCAGCTGACCCATCTCTGCGCCCACATGAAAAGGCCAGGAGCGGTGGAGCTGTGCGGGGGGGGGGGGGGGGCAGGCAGATCATCCCCAGGGCCTGCTAGACGCCACGCTAGCCAAATAACAGAGTTGAACACAGCTTGTTTCAAAACTAAGTAGGTGATGACTGAGGGAGACAAATGACATCAACCTTTGGCCTCCAAACACACATGTATGTGTGCCTATGAGTGTATGTGCTGTGTACCTATGAGTGCACATGCATGTATATATATATACCCCCACACAGAGATTTTATTTATTTATACATATATATCATATAAAGATATACATTTAATAAAATGAGTTAAACTTCAGAGAACAAACCTAACTGAGGGACTGGAAATATGGCTCAGTGGTTAAGAGGGCTTCTTGCTCTTCTGGAGGACCCAAGTTTAATTCCAGAACCCTAGTCCCAATTTATGAGTGAAGAATTTCTCTCCTGTGTCAATCTGTCTTGAAATGTGGATGTTATTCAGGTTTTGTTTGCTGGTTGTTCCACCTGATTCTAGCACTCAAAGTAATTTTTCTGTGTGGAAAGTGAACACAAGAGTAGCTGTTCACGCTGAAGCAGCCAAGTACAGAGCACTGGCTTCTTCTGTGAATGTGTTCTAGGATGAGCACCTCTAACACCTCCACTGCCTGCTGATATTCTCTGCTGCAAAATAAACTTGGAATGCTTTTTGATTTTTTTTTAACATTAGAATTTTTTTGGGGGGGTAGGAGAGGTGGTTTTTCGAGACAGGGTTTCCCTGTGGCTTTGGAGACTGTCCTGGAACTACTTCTTGTAGGCCAGGCTGGTCTCGAACTCAGAGATCCTCCTGCCTCTGCCTCCCAAGTGCAGAGGCAGGTGGATCCATAGGCATGAGGATCTCTGTGAGTATAAGACCAGCCTAAAAACTAAAACTTTCCTGAGTCCAGCATAGGGCATGATATATAATAATCCTAAGAAGTGAATACGAAATTTCATTACTTAATTCAAGTTCAAAAGGAAAGAAATCTACTACTTACTCACCTACCTAAACACTTTCTTTAAGCACTGAAACGTTCTACTTCCTCACAGCCTTACAAAGACAAAAATAATCTACCAGAAGAAACAACCTAATTTAGTGAAAAATTATATAGTAAGAAATTTTAGGCTGCTGAAGTTTACACAAAAGCCTGTGAACTTGAATCTGACCTTAGATCCCAGAGAAAAGCTTTCTTATGGTTTCCACATGCACGCATGGAACGTACCCTTCCCACATCACGCATGCGCACTCACATGCACACATGGAACGTACCCTTCCCACATCACGCATGCGCACTCACCACAAATTAAACAATCAATTTAAGCATTTTCCCAGGGCCAGGCACCTATAATCCTAGCACTTGGTAGAGTGAGGCAGGAGGATCAAGTTTAAGGCTAGTCTGGGCTGTAAAACTGAGTCCATCTCAAAAAGGAAACTATTAATATACTATTAATAGCATTAATTATATATCAATAATAATATCGATTTCTGTCAGGGCCAGCCCACCTGTTGAACAGTACCTAAATAGGGAAGTGAAGACTAAGAAAGAGACAAAAGACAGAAGACAGAGTCGGGAAGGCTCTCAGTGAATACTGCACCAGCCCTGAATTTACTTCTCATAGTCCTTTCATAACCCCCCAAAAGGGGGAGTGCAAAAGACTTCCTTCCTTACCATGGTTCACGGAACAAACAAGTTTATCACCTCCTTAATTCTTAAAACATCTAGTAACCACGCCTTTGGCCAATCATCCTACTACTTGGCCTCGAGGAGCAAGAACAAGCTTGAACTCTCTAACCTAAGTCAAGATGGAATGGAGTCACTGTGGGCTCCCACAAATTTCCATTGTGGAGATATATCCCTACACCTGTAAATACACACACACAGAGACACGCCCCTACCCCTACAACACACACGCGCGCACGCACGCCTACAAATACATTAGCAATGAAGCTTCCTGGGTCTTCAAAGTAATGCTGGTCTGCTTTACCAGTGAAATCAGTCTTTTAGTCTATTATAAGCAAGTCAGCCACAAGTCAGACCTAGCAAGTCAAATCCCGAGAGACATACTATCCACTCATTTGGCAAAGACTCCATTTTCCTTAAACGTACCCAACATATCTGTGACTCAGCAAATGACCCAAGAGAATAAGAGAACATATGGTCACTCAACAACTAATACATGATATTCATAACAGTGTGCCTAGCAGTAAAGACATGGAAACAACAAAAGGAAATGAAGCTCTGATTAATGCTGGAAGGATGAAGCTTGAAGTCATTATGCCAAGTCAAAGATACCAGACACAAAAGCCATATGCTGTACAAAAGTTTACACAAGTCTACAACAGACAAACTGGAAGAAACTGGCTACCAGAGGTGCTGGTGCGGGATGGAGGCTGATGATGGCTGCAGATTCAACTGCTAATGAGAACAAGGAGTCTCTCTGCAATGATGAAGAAGATATCCTGAGGGCTGGAGAGCCAGCTGTTGTTCTTCCAAAGGACCTGGGTTCAACTCTTTCTTTTAAAGAGATCAGAGGAAGGCATTGAGATCCCCTGGAGCTGTAAGCTGCCAAATATGAATGCTGGGAACTGAACTCATATCTCTAGAAGAGCAAAAAGTGCTCCTAACCACTATGCCATCTTTCTAGCTCCAAGCTTTTATTTTAGGTTTTGAGATAGGGTCTCATTGTGTGGTCCTGGCTGGCTTGGAACTTGCTAGGTAGACCAGGGTGGCCTCAAATTCAGAGAGGGCAGCCTGCCTCTGCCTACTGAATGCTGGGATTAAAGGTGTGCACACCACATCTGGCAGCCCATACTTTAACCAATTGTTTTATGGTTATTTAGGAGGACGGGGTAGCACACATGCCCCAGTGTACCTGTAGAGGTCAGAGGGCAACTTGCAGGAAATGGTTCTTAACATTTACTATGTAGGATTCAGAACTGAACTCAGGTTGTGGGGCTTGACAGCAAGGGCCTTTATTAACTAAACCATTTTGCCAGCCCCAAATTGTTTTTTTTCTTGTTTTAACTTATTTTATTTTTAATTATGTGCATGCTTCTGTATGCTGTTTCTCTTATTGGTTGATAAATAAAGCAGTTCCGACCAATGGGCAGGCAGGCTGCAGCCAAGTAGAAAGTATAGGAGGGGCTGGAAAGAGGAAGGCAGAGAGACTCTCAAAGGAACAACATGCAGCTGCCAAGAAAGCAAGAGGCTTGGGCATTACCATGTGGAGACACACAGGTTAATACAAATGGGCGAATAATTAAGGTAGAGCTATCCAATAAGAAGTCTAAGCAAAGGCCAGGCGGTGGTGGCACACGCCTTTAATCCCAACACTTGGGAGGCAGAGGCAGGCTGATCTCTGTGAGTTGGAGGCCAGCCTGGTCTACAAAACTACACAGGGAAACCCTGTCTCAGAAAAACAAAACAAACAAATGAACAAAAAAAGAAGCCTAAGCACCTTATAATTTATGTGAGCCTCTGTGTATTTATTTGGGACTAAGCAGCTGCAAGACCAGCGGGACAAAATCTTTGGTCTCCATGCCTCTGTGTATGGGGTGCGGGTCGGGGATTGCCTGAGGAATCCAATTCTCTGAAGCCCGGTTACAAGCCGACACTGGTGCTGGGAACTGAACTCAGGTTCTGTACAAGACGGGTATGTACTCAACTCTTAGGTATCTCTCCAGCCCCTCAAAGCTACATTTTTAAGTAAGTCCTACAGTAAAAACATATTTAAATATAATAACACATGTACACGACGCATATACACACAATTCAGTTTGGATACATGGTCTCATTTATATATGCTAATTTTTTAGTATTTTAAAATTAAAATATTTGAAATGTGACATCATCTATTTTGTTAAGCACTAAAGTTTTAAACTTACATCCCTATTAAGTGAGCAACTATAAAGTCCTAGAATCAGCACCAATCTGTTCAATCAGCTGAGTTTTATTCACTTTTTTTAAAAGAAGGGCTCATGCAGTTTTAGCTGGCCTTGAACTTGCTATGTTGAAGATGGCCTTGACCTGGTGTGATTACATACCTGAGCCACCAAGCCTGGCTGGTGAGTTCTAATTTCAGTTTTATTTTTGTATAGAATCAAGAAACTACAAGTTTGGGGCTTGGCAGACGGCTGAGCTGTGCAGTGTAGAACACTTGCAGCTCTTGCAGACTGTCAAGGCTCAGTTCTCAGCATTCACTGTCGTGGCTCACAATCACCTGTAATTCCAGTTCCAGGAGATCCAATGTCCTCTTTGGGCCTCCTCAGGAACCGGGGATGGATGTGGTGCACATTACATACATGCAGGCAAGGCACGAATGTACAGTAAATAAAAATAAATCTTTAAACAAATACAAATTTAACTGGGTTTCTAACAGTAGGAACTATGCCTTTTATAACCTCATGACTTTCATAAGAGACAGCATAGTCCTTCATACAAGTTATGGACCAAACACCAATGAAATGTTTTTTGTGATGGTTGCTGGGGACTCGGGATCACCTATGGAGCACCTCTGGGTGTTCCTGAGAGAATTCTGAATGAGGATTAACCGTGGATATGAGCAGCACCACCTCCTGACGCACAGCAAAGCACAGCACAGCCTCTGGACTGGAGCAAGCGGAACGCAAGCATCTCAGCTGCCTGCTGTGGGTGTTGTTGCCAGCAGCTGCACACCCCTGAAACCATGGGCTACGTGTCTCCTGCTGTGATGAGCTGTAAACACATATTAGCCCTTCTTCCCTTAAGCTGTTTTGTCAGAGCAGCCAGAAACACAGTTACTGTACTCTTGGTACTGCATTTGTAAAACAGAACCATAATAGTCAGTCAAGCTTTTGTTCTATGTATGCCCTTCAGAACTGATAAACAGTTTTTACCCGGTAAAGAACAAACAGGAAATATTTTAGGACTTTGTGGACCAGACTGTTTCTGGTACAACCACCCTACTCTCCTGGGACATGAAGGCAGTCACAATGACCATTTAAACCCCCCTAGGCCAATACTGCCCACAGAACTTTCTACAATATAGTCTATTGAGCATCTAGAAATACGACTTTCTGCTAAGGATGTGAATTTTAGAATTATAGTTACTTCTCAGTGTTACAGGTGTGGCTCTCACAAGCTCATATATTTCAATGTTTGTTTGTTCCACAGTTGACAGAACTATTTCTGAAGGATTAGGAGATGTGGCCTTGTTGGGGTGAGTCACTGGGAATGGGCTTTAAGGTTTCAAAAGCTCATCCCTTGCCCCCCTGACCTACCTCCAACTTGAGGATAATTTATGAGCTCTCAGTTACTGCCTCAGCCTGCCCGCCGCCACACTCCCCACCAGGATGGTCATGAACTCACCCTCTGAACTGTAAGAAAATCCCCATTAAGTTAATAGTTGCCTCCGTCGTGGCATCTCATCGTGACAATAGAAAAGTGGAAAGTAACTAAAACAACAGGGTACCTGTTATAGGACCTCTCCAATGTGAAAATCTGAATTTTTAGATTATAAATTATGACAATAATTTGCATACAATTCACCTGTATCCTCACATTATACTTAATCATTGCTGGATTACTTGCAATGTCTAATGCAATGCAAATCCTACATAACAGTTGTCATACCATTCAGAGAATGACAAAAAAGGTCTACATGTTTAATAGAGGGGCCCCTTTTCAAATATGTTCAACCAGCAGTTGGTTGGATCTATTGATGTATAGCCTGCTGACATAAAGGGAGGCTATACGGCTGGCAAGAGGCTCGGCAGATAGAAAGCTGCAAAGTCCAACTACATAAGTTTGATCCCCAGACCCAGACTGTGCTGGCAGGAGAGAACTGACTCTTTCAAGTTGTCCTCTGAACTCCACACATACCTTCAAGGGTGCACATGTATTCATGTGCACAGCCCCTACTAACAAGCGGGGGCAGGGAGAGGGGCAGAGGGGGCACAAGTATCTTTCAAATAGAAACATCTGCAGGCACTAGTCAGCACCACTTTAAATAACTAACCAAATTAACCTCTGCTGAATACAGAAAGGTTAAAAGCTATTAACAATAAACGAGGAAGGAAATATGACATAACATTTCCAATAATTCAAAGAACATACCACTACATGATCATAACTCTAGACATACCAATCACAGCTCAAGTAAGGATACGTGTAGAGCTCCATGTATCTGGACTTCGCCATGCTTTGTCTGGTATATACCTGCTGAATCCCTGCTCTGAGGTCATCCCAGATCTGGTCAAGACCAATCTGCTTTAGTCCATGGGGATTCTGACTCCTGTTTGATGACATTATGAGGGATGTTCTGAAGTTGTCCAGTACCCTTGTAAAGACACAGCTAATTCTCCATTAGTTGAAAATAGACAGTATCATTCCAAATTTATTCACAGCAGCTCAGGAAGAATGTTCTTTAAGTGTAGAAAGTAAAATCTCATTGCAGGCAAACCTGAAAAGGAAATAAAGGAGGACTGATCAATTCTAACTTTCTGGAATAGTAACATGGCCACACAATCTGACAATCTGTAGGAGTCTGCAGGTATTTCAAACATTCTTACTTTTTAATGAAAATAAAATCATTGTGTGTGTGTGTAAAATATGCTTAGACAATTCATCCAAAATCATTTAACTACCAGTGATCTTGAAAAAAGTTGAGGAAAACAAGCTAAAGAGACTTGTCATTTTTTACCTTCTAAAACCATCAAAAGTTAAAACATAGCAGTAGACCTCTATGACAATTAGACAAATTCTACAAAAGACAGGGCAGAGAACATGCCTAGTTAACTCCCAGAAAACTCGGAGGCGCTAGCTAACAAGCAGGAAAGGCAACAATCTCCAGTTGCCTGTGAGTTTTAGGAATTCTTTACTTAGCACTTGGCAGAAAAAGTTAACGTTGGTAAGTGTGAAGATGAAACAAGGGGATTTGGGGAGAATTATCAAAATTTACAATGCACCTTGGATTCAGGAGTCCTGGCTTTGAAGCTCAGCTTATACCTCACTAAGCTTGAACTTCCTAGCCTACAAAATGGGGGCAAATGACTTTCCTCACAGGGCTGTTAAGGATGGTAATATATATATTTGACAGTAAATGCTTGCTAAATGGTTATGGTATTATTAATAAGGTAATATTGTAATAATATGGTTGTTATTTCTAAGTGTATGGTGCTACTTCAAAACACAATCTGTAACGCTTCTCTTGTTGGACCCACTGATTAAGGGCCTTATAGAATACCATACTGTATTTAGTTGGTACTTCACAATTGTTTATACATAGCACACTAAAATGTAGAGGTTTTAGTAAGTATTTCTAAGTGCAAACAACAACAGCAGCAACAACAAACCCCACTGAGTTCTTTTAGTGACTTCACAAAATAAAATGCAAATGAAGTCAGTGGGCTGAGATGCCAGCACAGGCTGCTAGTCTAAGGCTTGAGTCACTCAGCATACTCTATCTCCTGATCAAAGATATGAAGCTCCACAACGCGAGGCCTGTTTAAAACGGCGACTGTTTCTAACATCTATACTGTGATCTATAGGACTGAACATTCTATGAAACCGAACCATCAATTCCTATTCTAAAAGTATTTTATTTCATACATTCAAATACGTTCAAATGTGAAATATATATATATATATATCCAATACAAAGCAAGTCTCCTTTAAACATAAAGAAAACAACAACTCAGCCAATGTTTCCCACAGTTTCAGTCTTCCTTTCATTCACCTTGGGGGAAATCACGGTAACACCCCACTTGATGACAATCAGCATTTAAGACTAGTGCTGCCACCCACTAATCAACTTCTACACTTACCTCCCCCGTCACTTCTTTGCTTATGTCCCCAAGGGGAACTTAAATTTGTCCAAACTGTTATCAATAGTGCAGTTATTCTAATCGCTACCCGCAATGGAGTAAACTATTCTCTACCACGCGCCTGAATTATTTCTCCAAAGTGGGAAAAGCACTGTATCCACCTTTCCGGCCTTGAAAGGATTCTGATACAGAGTGCTGTTGATGCTGTCAAGGACATGTCACATTGACTAGTTCTGTTGTTTCTTCCTCCAGTGATCATCACCATTTCTCTCAATTAGACCCTCACACATGTGTCCTTGACCCTTTTTAAAGCAACAGAGCCTGAAACTGCCATCCTAATCCCTCATACATGGTCAATCCTCAGGACCACATGGTCCCGCAAGCTGTCCTCTGACATCTGCACACTTGCACAGCACATGCATTCACATTTTCCATCCCCGCATAGACAATGCTTGACACACACTCTATTCAGCACCGCACCTTCTGTGCTCTGTGCTTGATTTCTAACTACCCGCTCCCTTTCTCTAGTTAACCACGCTGAGTATCTAAAGTTCATAAGCACGAGCAATCAATCTGAGGTCCTCAGATTTCCAAGTTAGTGTCTATATAAACGGGCAAGTATAAACAACAGCCTTGTCTTACATTTTAATGTCCCTCAGAGTGTCTCACCAGTATGTTGTAACTAACATGGCAGATGAATCCAAATCTAAGTCTGAAAGGAACTGTTTACCATAAGCATACTGCAGAAACATCTGAGGGCAAATCGAAAGCCGAACAGTCTACAGTGTAGGTGGAACGGTTTTCTTAAGTTATAATCATTTGTGAAATACAGCCAACTGGGCTGAGAAGGTATTTGTGATTCAGACCGTAAAACACAAGGCCAACCAAGCACTGCTTCACTGGGTCTCCAAACTTGCAGGGACCAGGATGGCAGGCAGGACAGGCAGCTTATAGCTTATTTACCTCTGAGCAGTCCCTCCACACAGGACACCCTAGCAAGCTAGGGTTGTACACCAGACAAGTCCAATAGGAAGGAGAGGCTGAGTAAGGCTTTAGTATGCCAGCCTAGGTCATGTGTATGCAGATACAAGTGTGTGTGCTTAACCTGACTTTACAGCACCCGATGCTGGAGAGATGAACCGACGTAGAGCAATAAAGTAGAGCAATGGTACCTGCAAATAACTGGCGTATGGCCATTGTTGATTTTTCAGAAATACACTATCGTACTATACATTCTCTATCTTGTAACTAAGTCATCCAAAAACTTGGAAATTTCAGTAGATTTCTTAAGTCAGAATTCAGGTAGTTTTAACTAAGAAGTAAGAAAGTTTATCACACATCCAGAAGGCTTGAAAGCACTCCAAAACTCAGTCATTTTCAACAAAACCTTAATAAGACATACTTAGGAAATCAGGCTGTTTTTAAGCACTATTGGTATTACAGGCTACAAAGTTCCCCAAGTTGTAGATCTGCAGAATGTGTTCCAAACAGCCCACAGGTTACGGCTGCCAGCGAAGGGAAGTGACGCCAGCTAAGGCAGCTAATGGGTCCCTTACCATGTCAGTGTTCTCTAGGAACCCCAGCTATACAGGCTCCTTCTAACTCCTGCAAGATGCACAGGCCACATATTCCTTCCTGATAGGCAACCAAGGCACAAAACATCACCAACCAAGGACAGGGACAGATGGCAGAACCAATTGTATTTTCGTATAATGGCCACTGACACATGAATCCTGTGTGAATGAATTACAACAGCGTCCAGTCTTCACTCTTGTCTTGAGAAACTAAGACGGGGAAGGGAACACAGCAGTAAACTCAACAGGTCGAAGAGAAGAGGCTGTGCACTCAAGGAGCAGGGCAGCCTCCACTGTGCTAGACGTGGCTATCTCAGAGCCATCAACTGCATTAACTCCCCTGAAAACAGCCACAAAAATATAAATCCTTAAGACTTTTAAGTACATCTCTACTCAAAGGCAGAATCCATAACCCTTAAAGTAACAACGTGTCCTCATCTCAATTATCCCCCAAGCACTCCAAAATGTGCCATTTCTGCCTTCATTTCTATAAACCGAACTAAATTCATTTCACTGATGCTGTTGCTGAAGCCAAAACTGAGAAGTGTTAAAGTGAGATGATTCAAATAAGAGCTGTAACAGGAACACAAGAATTAGGGGTTTTCATGGAAAGACTACAACTGTTTTTGGTTAGGTTGACTGTTGCTGAAACACAAAAAGAAAAACCAGCAAGACAAAATGTTTTCTCACTTCCTAAAATTAAAGCCTAGAGTTAATGAAGACTACATTGAAAATCTGCTTTTAAATTAAGACTAAATTTAGCTGTTCCATTTTGGTCACTTATTGTGCATTCGTAGGTATGGCTTGCACATGTGTGGATGAAGGTCAGACAGAGGCTAATGTGGAATGTCTTCCTTAACTGCTCTCCACCATACACACCGAGGCATGCAGTCTCTCTCACCTAAACCCTCTCTCAATTTGGCTAGTCTAGCGAGCTAGCTTGCTCTGAGGATCATGACTGTCTTCTGAGAGCTGGAATTCAGGTGGACTGCCAGGCCCACCAGATTCACTCTGAGGAAGAGTAGAGAGTCTGGCCCTTACGTCTGTGTGACAAGTGACTTACCCCGTGAACCAGCTCCCTAACCTTAGTACAGTAACATCTTAATATGATAAAAATGTAAATGATTCTGAGAATTACTGAATAAAGTTATTACTAATTTTCTACTCCTAACCCTGGCTTTCACTTCCAATGTGGTACATACTTACGAAATGTACAGTAAAATTATTCAGACCTAAAGGAACTCCTGCATGTGTACAACAGACTTTGGCTCAAGTGTTTATAAGAATGGGGAGGACAGCCCACATGTCCACCAGCAGAATTCACAAATAAGCTATGTAAATAGCTAATGAATTAGTTACTTATTTCCTTTCTATGGCAAAATACCTGACATAATTTAAAACAACAAGAATTCATTCTAGTCACAGTTTCAGGCATCATGGCAGGTGGGTGTGACTGAGTGCCAATCACCTTTAGGAGTGGTCTTCTCCCCTTGGTTAATCCTAAAAGAGTCCTCACAGATATACTTAGATATGTGTTTTACTGATATCTCAGGTACTTCTCAACCCAATTAAGTTGACAATCAAGATTAGTTACCATGTGACTACTCCTCATCAACCTGACATCCAAACATATCTCCCTAAACTAGAATAGTCCACCCCTGGTCCTCAAAATGCTCATACCCATCTCATAAAGCAAAATGCATTCAGTGTTTCTCCAAGATTCTCCACAGTCTTCACAGTTCCAACACTTCTCAAAGCCCAAGTTCAAAGATTCCTCTGACCCTCAAGGCAAACTATGAGTCCCCAAAAACCTAAAAATCAAAAGCAAGTCATACAATTCTAGGAAACAATGGCACAGAACATTGCTGCTCTAAAAGGTAGGAAATGGAGACAGAAAAGAAAGACAGGACCAAGAGGAAGCAAATGAGTCATGCGCAGTGTCTAAAGGATGTTCTGTGTCAAAGGCCTTCAGCAGCCGTATCTGGACGCCACAGCAGGTCACCTGGCCTCTCGTCAGTCAGGGCTAGTCTGAATGTGGCCTTCAGGTTTCCTTGGAAATGTTC